ATTGCATCCGGCCAGGAAACGTCATCTCTTCCGGGACTGGCATCCTGTTTGGGATTCTGTATGGAAGAACCAGTATTTTAACTGGAGCCAGGATCCTGTCTGGAACCGTCGATTTGAATAAGATTGACATCTCGACTAGAGCCAATATTTCGACTGGGAATGGAATTTTGTCTGGAGCCATCGACCTGATTGAAACCATTATTTTGACTGGAGCCAGTATCTTGCCTGAAACTATCGTCCCGCCTAAAACTGATATTCTGATATGAGTTTGAAGTTCCGATTTAAGTTAACAGGATGATTAAGAAGTAGAAACTGCATTTTTAGAAGGGATAGATAGCAACATATAATGCAACCATGTGCCCGTCTCTGCTTGGCCTGTAATAGTTCCCATTTTTTTTTTTTTTTTTTTTTTTTTGATTTGAATAGTCAGGTCCGCATGAGGCTGACTGACTGACTATATTTATTTATTTACTGCTATACTACTGTATAATATAGTAAATTTGTTGACGCCTATTGTGTGTAGGTCTCAAATGTGAGTGTTACATTAAATGTGAAGTGAAATACAAAAGTAGTTTGATTAATTATGTGTTAGTGAATGTATAGATATCTTGATTAGGAATGGCATCCTGTCTGGAAACGTCATCTCTTCTGGAACTGGTATCCTGTTTGGGATTCAAAATCTTTCCAGTTTATTATACAGACCAGCTGCATTCAAAACCAGAATCCTTAATGTGTAAGTGCTTCCAAGAGAACTAGGCAATATTGGATGTGTCATTGACGTGTTTAGCCATCATGCAGTTTGTTAATAAAGTCAACATAGTAATAAGCTGATCCATCTTCGCATTAAGATTTTCTATACTACTGACTTCCATGGGAACAGATCGTTTGCGCTCATCAAGCATTAACTCAATTAAGGTATCAAACTTTGCATTTAATGTTTTGATATCGCTATCATTATTAACAGTGAGCCGAGCATTACTACGGCTACGACTTCTAAATCGCCAGCTGGCATGTTGATCGTCTTCATGTCCATGACCATCATTTGATCGAATTTGGCGCAACTGCTGAAGTGACCGTTGGTGTTGATTGTTCAGATTTATAGGTACTGGTTGAGCATTTTGTTGACGCTGCAGTACTTGCTGACCTTGTTGCGTTTTTTACTGCAGTAGATGGTTTTTGCTTATTAGTTATGCCCATTTTTATTGCATCAGCATAACTCGATTTTTCTACCAATTTAGCTGAAAGCAGGCCAGCAGACTTTTGACCTTGTTGCTGCGATTGCTTGGACATATTTGTGGGAACCACTCGAGGCTCTTGAGCTTGCTGCTGCAATTTAGCTTGATGGTTCCGCATTACTTGCTGTATTGTCAGATGTTTTGACGACTGAGCAGATTTGGTTGATTTAGAATTGTCAATATGTCGATTAATGATTTTAGCAGTAGCAGCACTATTGCTAAGGCTACCCTGATGCATCAAATCAACCACAAGCCTATTTGCTTGTTGCAATTTTGTTGACTCCTTGATTTTGCATGCTTCTTTAAAAGACTTGCAGCCTTTATAGCTGGCAACATGCTCGCCAAGGCAATTTGCACATTTAGGTGGCTGGCTTAAGCTCCCTTTCTGACGTGGACATTCAGTAGATGGATGGTTATTACCACATTTTACACAGATAAAAGGTCTGCGGCAATAATTTTTGGTGTGTCCAAACTTTTGACAACGGTGACACTGCACAGCATCTATGTTATGCAGTGATTTCTCTATCTTGACCTCCTGATGACCCAGCAAGGTAGTAACTAATATACTACTATTGTTGGGTTTAGCCTCAATTTCAACTTCAAATAAGTCAAGTGGTTGGCCAGAGAACCTTTTTTTGATGTTATTTGCATATCGAACTGTATGCCCCAGTTTAGCAAACTCCTCTTTGATCCACTCAATTGGTGTACTTCGATGTAAATGTCTAATAAGAATTCTGAATCCACGCTCAGACTTGATTTGAAAAGTATGAGATTCTAGGTTTATGTCTTCAAAATGATGAATAAGCTTCCTATAGGAGTCAATGCTAAGGCACTGAATGCGCAATCCACGTCCTGAGGTAGTCTTTACAAAATAAGAGGTATGATCAATAACTTTATTGATCCCTTGAATGAATGGAATGATCATAGGAACATCCGGAATATATATGGAAGGTGGCCTTGAACTTTCCTTATTGGTAATTGTTGACTGATTCGTAGCTGAATCACTTATTTTAGTTTTAGTTTTGCAAGTAGCTTCCGGGTGTTCTTCATCATCCGAATCAAGTCTACTTGGGGTGATGTTTTTTGACTTTGTTTTTGGTTTTTTTTTTTTTTTTTTTTTTTTTTTTTTTTGATTTGAATAGTCAGGTCCGCATGAGGCTGACTGACTGACTATATTTATTTATTTACTGCTATACTACTGTATAATATAGTAAATTTGTTGACGCCTATTGTGTGTAGGTCTCAAATGTGAGTGTTACATTAAATGTGAAGTGAAATACAAAAGTAGTTTGATTAATTATGTGTTAGTGAATGTATAGATATCTTGATTAGGAATGGCATCCTGTCTGGAAACGTCATCTCTTCTGGAACTGGTATCCTGTTTGGGATTCAAAATCTTTCCAGTTTATTATACAGACCAGCTGCATTCAAAACCAGAATCCTTAATGTGTAAGTGCTTCCAAGAGAACTAGGCAATATTGGATGTGTCATTGACGTGTTTAGCCATCATGCAGTTTGTTAATAAAGTCAACATAGTAATAAGCTGATCCATCTTCGCATTAAGATTTTCTATACTACTGACTTTCATGGGAACAGATCGTTTGCGCTCATCAAGCATTAACTCAATTAAGGTATCAAACTTTGCATTTAATGTTTTGATATCGCTATCATTATTAACAGTGAGCCGAGCATTACTACGGCTACGACTTCTAAATCGCCAGCTGGCATGTTGATCGTCTTCATGTCCATGACCATCATTTGATCGAATTTGGCGCAACTGCTGAAGTGACCGTTGGTGTTGATTGTTCAGATTTATAGGTACTGGTTGAGCATTTTGTTGACGCTGCAGTACTTGCTGACCTTGTTGCGTTTTTACTGCAGTAGATGGTTTTTGCTTATTAGTTATGCCCATTTTTATTGCATCAGCATAACTCGATTTTTCTACCAATTTAGCTGAAAGCAGGCCAGCAGACTTTTGACCTTGTTGCTGCGATTGCTTGGACATATTTGTGGGAACCACTCGAGGCTCTTGAGCTTGCTGCTGCAATTTAGCTTGATGGTTCCGCATTACTTGCTGTATTGTCAGATGTTTTGACGACTGAGCAGATTTGGTTGATTTAGAATTGTCAATATGTCGATTAATGATTTTAGCAGTAGCAGCACTATTGCTAAGGCTACCCTGATGCATCAAATCAACCACAAGCCTATTTGCTTGTTGCAATTTTGTTGACTCCTTGATTTTGCATGCTTCTTTAAAAGACTTGCAGCCTTTATAGCTGGTTGATTGATTTGATTTGAATAGTCAGGTCCGCATGAGGCTGACTGACTGACTATATTTATTTATTTACTGCTATACTACTGTATAATATAGTAAATTTGTTGACGCCTATTGTGTGTAGGTCTCAAATGTGAGTGTTACATTAAATGTGAAGTGAAATACAAAAGTAGTTTGATTAATTATGTGTTAGTGAATGTATAGATATCTTGATTAGGAATGGCATCCTGTCTGGAAACGTCATCTCTTCTGGAACTGGTATCCTGTTTGGGATTCAAAATCTTTCCAGTTTATTATACAGACCAGCTGCATTCAAAACCAGAATCCTTAATGTGTAAGTGCTTCCAAGAGAACTTTTCTGTTCGTATGTCTACAAAGAACACACATTAGTGATCTCCGCCTCTTCCCATTCTCGTACATGAACAGCTGACCTGCAGCTGCATGATGAGGGGAAGAGTACGGGGATACTCTTTATTTATTTAATACTTCACAATAGCATTTTTTTATAAATATAAATAGCGCCTATGAGATAATTAAAATCTAAAAAGGACTATATTTGTCGAAACTTTTCATTAAATGATTAAATTTAAATGGCCATAAGTGCACAAAAATAACAGTGCAGCTTAATGTTACAAAATATTAAAAAAAAGAGCAAATTAAAGATAATTCAAAATAACAATAAAGTGCTTGAGTAGCTGATAAAAGACTAATTAGATAAATAAGATATAAATTTTACAATAGTAATAGATAGCATAATTAGTATAATTCAATTTTCTTTTTCAATTAATAAGCATCTGCAAGATGCACTGAGAAATTAGCCCAGAGTAGCTAATTGGAATTATGGAGAAAAATCGAGACAAAGTCTGGTCATTTTCTCCAATATGGGCATAAGCTAAAAATAGTTTAAATTACAGAAAATTAATTATAATTAATATAGATAATTATTTTCTTTTCATTTTACATTTAAGTTGCAATAGCTAAAAGAATATGCACAACTGTCACCATACAATGTTTGTGCAGTAGTAAGTTGTTACATAGTTATCGGGGAGTTATCGAGAGTAACTACATATATGGCAAGTCAAAGACTATGAACAATAAGAATTAACAATTGATAATAATTTTTTATATTAAAGTTCTAAAGTTCATGTTATTAATTAATTATATACTAGTTTTAATTATTATTTAGTTTAGTTTACATATTTACAATGTTTATGCATAGCGATATTTGCTGCAATATATCGAATGTGTAGACATATGTTTGATTTTGATTGCAACTATATAATAATTATTTTTAAATTAATTTAATATAGTTTAATATTCATAAAAATTTAATAATTTGTATTTAAAATAGCTTTTCAATTCATTTTAGCAATTTGGATTTCATTAATATTCGTTCAAAACATCGCAAGTACAATTGAGTAAGTGACGATGCATCCCTGGCTTAGTGCCTATCGGAGTGCATAATCAAAACAAAACGAAACAAAAACAGCTGACTGAAAATTGCATTAAATGCAAATTTGATGCTGCTAATTGGTAAGTTTAAATATTAATAATTATATTAGTGGTATTAATGATATTAATAATTAATATTAATTAATTATTATCTTTGCATATATATAGCTGCAATTATACAAAATGCAGAGGGGCGCAAATACTGAAGATTGCGAGATTGCATTAACTGCAAGCTGACTAGCAGGTAAGTAAATTTTGCAAAATAGAAATTAATAATTATAAAAGTAAAATTAAAGATATTAATAATTAATATTAATTTTTAACTTTTTATATATAGAGCTGCTGCCATACAAAGTACAGAGGGGCGCAAAACTGGAAATAGCAGAAATGCACTAATTGCAAGCTGACTAGCAGGTAAGTGAATTTTGCAAAAGTGAATAAAAACATTAAAAGACTATTAATGTTGATTTTTTCTTTGCAGAGTACATCAACCACAGCAAGGAGGATTAGCTAAGTGGACTCTACAGCCAATAGGCCACATAATTAAGTTAGTTTTAAGTTAATTCGAAATGTGCATTTAGGCGCAAGCGCCGTCACATAAGTTCGCTGCATATATGTATATATGTGCCGAAAATAAACTTTTGAATTGTAATTAGATGTTCAGTTAGTGTATAATTTGTTATTTTAGATACTCTATAATGCGAATGTTCGAACAAATACTTAGCTTTGATCCCTATGTGATCTAAATAGGACCCTATAGGCAGCAAGTGGTGATGGTGGTGGTAGCGGCCGCGGCATTGGCGCAATACCTTCAAAAACAGGTAGGCGTTGCGGCTGCTGGGCTGCTGCCTGTGCAGCTTCGTTGCGTTGCTGAGCCTCCAGTCGGCGAAGGTATCGATCTCTACTTTCAGCTACTTCGTCGGCTTCTCTTTGTAGCTGTCGCTGAGTACGTAATGCAATATCGTTGGCTAAATGCGTGTTAACAAGACTCATGTATCTAGCCAAAGTTATCCGCTGTGGGATAAACGGGTCATAGGCTATGTTTTTGGCCAGATTGTTGCTATGAGCGCGAAGTCTCTCGTAGTATTTAGCGCAGAGATTATTGAGTATCTCATCTGCAGACAAGACGTCCAGTTCAGTTCTGATGCGAGAGTTCGAGATAAAGTACTGAGCACCAGAAATGGCTCTCAGAGCTTTATTGTGAACCACTCTAATGCGGCTGAATTGGGACTCGGATAGTAGAGCACCCCATACAGGTAGCGAATATTGCCATAATGGGGCAACTAGCTGCTTGTATATGATGACTTTAGTTCTAAGCGTCAATTTACTGTCTTTGTTGATGAGCCAATCTATCTTTTTAAGTCTAGCCCTGACCCTAGTAACGACCGTAGTGACATGTTGAGAGAAGCGCAGTTTAGAATCTAGAGTAACGCCCAAATACGGATGTGAAGTGCCATTTTCAATAGTTTCGTTGCCAATGCGAATAGCCTGATATGGCGCTATAACTCTGTATGCATGCATGACATGCATAGTTTTATTTGCATTAATTGTAATGCACCACTTGCTCGCCCATTCGGCCAAACTATCCATATAAGCTTGCTGCTGACTGAGCGCATCTGCTTGGCGAGAGTCTGCCGATAGAACAATGACGTCATCAGCATAAGTAGCAATCAAAATCCCACGTAGACGAGATGGCCTTGGTATGTCGCTGGTGTATATATTATACAAGATTGGCCCGAGCAAGCTACCTTGTGGCACACCGGCGTGAATTTGCTTGATTCCTGAGCGACAGCCACCGTGACACTCAACAATAAAAGTGCGATCTGCTAGATAGCAGCAGAGGATGCGATAGAGAGCATCTGGCAGTAGCCTCTTAAGCTTGTATTTCAAGCCTGGATGCCACACTCGATCGAAGGCTTCTTTTATGTCCATATAGACAGCAGAGCAGTATTTATGGTCATCAAACGCTTTAATAATAAATTGAGTAACTCGACCCAATTGCTGCTCAGCTGAATGCGCCTTGCGGAATCCAAACTGATGGCTGGGAATCGCGTTGACAAGAGTATCTTGGGCCAGCATGCGGCTCAATATCAAGTACTCAAGTATCTTAGAGAGGCCAGATAAGAGACTTATTGGCCTGTATGATGCGACGTGTTGCGTTGGCTTGCCAGGCTTATGCACCATCTTCACCATCGCTAACTTCCAGCAAGAGGGGAAATGACCCAGTCTAAAAGAGTTATTACATATCAAAACGAGATACAAAATGGCCTTCAATGGCAGCGCTTTGATGGTGTGATTGTCAATTTGGTCCAAACCAGCCGCTTTTTTGCTTTCTAGCGTGCTGATGTGACTGATGACTTCAGCCGCAGTGACTGGCCGAAATGAGACTGAAGCAGTCAAAGATGTCTGGCTAACTTGAGCCTCGATTTCAGCCAGATCACTGGGTGTCGTAGTCACGATGGGTTGAAAACGCTGCTCAAGACTTGCAGCAAACGTTTCGGCCTTCTCGGCAGTTGTCTTGCACCAGACATTTTGTGAATTTGAGCCATCGCCACTGGAGGACTTCAACAGCGGTAGATTTGGAGCAGGCTGCCGCTTGATCTCGTTGGTCAGCCGCCAGAGCTTCTGCATACTATATCTATCAGTTGGATCGATAGATCTAAATAGCTCTTCCTCATACGTCTGCCTAGCATATATGAGCTCCTTGCGTATGCGATTCGACAACCTGTTGCAGAGCATCTTAAGCATCGGGTTGCGACTTCGAGTCAGATAGCGCTTGATTTGCTTATGGGCCTCGATAAGTTGCAGAGTCTGCCTGTTTACTCGAAATCTAGTCCTTGTTATCTTGCGTGGGTGCTGTGCATTCGCATAGTTTGCGGCATCTTCAATGTTTTTGACAAAAATATTGACCGCATCATCAAGATCGTCAGCACTGTTGATCTCAGTGTTGAGTAATATTTTGTCGTTTAGATAGCTCTGAAATTTGTTGATGTTAGCGTTCAGATCAAGTAGATGGCCTTTTGCTCTGCTAATGATAGGCTTCTCAACCAGCTGAACTTGCAACGGGAGATGATCTGAGCTAAGCTCGAAAGAGTCAGTGATGGCCAGCAATTCTCGCCTGATGCCTTTAAAAAGCGCAAAGTCAATGGCAGACGGAGTTTGGCGCGAATTAAACGGAAAATGGGTGGGCGACCCAGTTGCCAGAATGTTGCAATTCACTTGTAGAATACTATTGACTAGCATTCGGCCACGGAGACAAGATCTGGCGTTGCCCCACCACTGACTTTTCGCATTCCAGTCACCACCGACTATAAAGGTGTCACCCAAGGATAAAAGCAGGTTGTTGAAATCTTGCCCAGACCAGATGACTTGAGGCGGGCAGTAGATTGAGACAATATTGATATGACGGCCATTTTGCAGGCTGACTGAAACTTCGACAGATTGATGCGAGTCGTAAGATGTAAAGCGCATAGCATAATGGCATATCTGTTGTTTAATTATGAAGGCTGCACCTCCTCTGCGCCTGTTTGAGGGGTGATTTGCTAAATAAACAATATAGCCATTAATAGCAATGCTATCGCTATCAGTCAGATGCGTCTCAGACACTAACATTATGTCTATATCGTGCTTGACGAGATATAGATTGAGCTCATTAAGCTTTTTCTTGACACCGGCAGCATTCCAAAAAGATATGTTCATGTTGTTGACACGTTGAGATACAGCAGGCTGCAGTGCAGCGCTGCGTCTACTGGTATTTGGGGAAGTAGTTACATTGTTAGACATTTAAGCGCTCATTGGGACCAAATTGGGCCAACAGGCAGGCCGTGAGTGTGGTCATCATCTCAATGAGTTTGTCTATTTTAGCCTCTAATCTAAAGCTAACTTGCACTGGCATACTTGGCACATTCGCATTCATTGGCTGCTCGAAACGTTGAAAATGAACACCCCCACTAGCTGGATGCGCACCCCCATCTATTGGTTGCGGATGCCTACGGCGCGTACTCAGACTACGGCTACGTTTTGGCTGCGGCGGCCGCTGCGCACTTGCCTGCCTAGGCAAACGAACTTGTTGCTGTTGTTGTTGTTGCTGCTGTTGTTGTTGTTGCTGGCTAACTTTGGTGGCTTTTTGCCTAGACTGACGCTGTTTGCTGCTAATAGCTGCCGGTCCGACAGGCTGAGCAAATTGAAGGCCCGCCCGAAGAGCAGCCGAATAACTGGGCCCTGCACTAACAGTTTGCGGTCGTGACTGAGGGGGGCTTGCTGCAAAAGATTTGGCATATTAGACATATTTGGCATGTTTACTCGACTGCTCTGAGCAGTTACAGTCGGAGCAGGCTTAGCTAGAGTGTTAATTATCTTTGCTAGCTGCGTAGCACTCTCATTTTCACGCTTCTTGCACGCTTCTTTATACGCAGGGCAGCCTTTGTAGCTCGCGGCATGTGGGCCGGAGCAATTGGCACACTTTGCTGGAGTTTGGTCGCCTTTTTGCTTGCCACAGTCCGTGGAAGCATGATTGGCGCCGCACTTGACGCAGGCAAAGGGGCGACGGCAATAATTCTTTGTGTGCCCGAATTTTTGGCACCTATGGCATTGAGCAATTTCATTAGTTTTATACGGCCGCTCAATTTTGACACGCTGGTTGCCAATGGCCGTAATTTGCAGCAATTCTGCGTTGTTTGCGCTGACGGCTAACTCAACCTCAAAGAGATCGAGAGGCTCTTTTGTAAATCGAGACTTAATGCCTCTTAAAAAGCGGACTTCGTGCCCTAACTTGGCCAACTGCTCACGGATATAGTGATCCGGGAGTGGAGAAGTGCAGATGCCGAATAACAGCTCTATAGCCGCGCTCGCACTTCAATTGAAATGTGTAATTTTCATGTTTATGTAATTAATATAGATAAAAAAATAGTTTACCAATTGCGTTTGTGGCGAGTCTTGATTTCACTAATGCATTCGATATATGCAAGAGGAAGCTGAGTAAGTGGCGATGCACCCTGGCATTGTGCCTATCGGAGTGCATAATCAAAACAAAAACAAAAAACAGCTGATTGGGAATTGCATTACATGCAAATTTTATGCTATTGGTAAGTGTAAAAATTAATAGATAAATAAGTGAAATTAATGATATTAATAATTAATATAATTAATTACTGTCTTTCAATATATAGCTGCTATTATACGAAATGCAGGGTAGCGCAGATATTGAAGATAGCGAAATTGCATTAACTGCAAGCTGACTAGCAGGTAAGTGAGTTTTGCAAAAGTGAATAAAAGTTAACAATTATGGATTATAAAAGTGAAGTTAATGATATTAATAATTAATACTAATTAATTATTATCTTTTATGTTAGCTGCTGCCATATAAAGTGCAGAGGGGGCGCAAAACCGAGATAGCAGAACTGCATTAATTGCAAGCTGACAGCAGGTAAGTTAATTTTGCGAAGTTAATAAAAACATTAAAAGATTATTAATGTTGATTTTTGAGACACATCAACTGCGCAAGAGTTTTTTCTATCCGTATGTTACCAGAGAACACACAATAATGATCTCCGCTTCTTCCTACCTCATACATGATCAGCTGACCAGCAGCTGCATGGCGAGGGGAAGGTAGCACGGAGATACTTTTTATTCAAACAATACTTTACAATAGCATTTCT